GCAAAACGGGACGGAAAACATGAAATTTTGCAATAATCTTGCGCCACCCTTGCACAAAACGACGATCATTTTTCTAATTTCATAGATAACAGAAGCCTGTATTTTTTCTACATAACCCCCCCCCCTGACTTTAAAGCTGGATCCGCCCCTGGCTAAGAGACCTTCGGATCGCAGCAAAACGTCTAGCTTAACAGGCTTCCGCGATATAAATTCTTAAAAATTATAGTAATTTATGAAAATGTACCTACTTTCTCGATGGCATGTTATTATTATTGTAAATGCGCAACTTGCTTCAATTCAATCGACTTCGTATTTTTTTCTAGTAGCCGAGAATCCCATGCATCAGCCCGTAATTTTCTTAAAATAACCTTTCTAATATCCTACCTGGATTCATAATAACCACTTAGTGGAAAATCTTTTCTTAGGGGATGGCCATCAAATCCATAATCGGTAAGAATTCTTCTAAGATCCGGATGGTTGGCAAAAAATACACCATGTAAATCCCAAACTTCCCTCTCTGGCCAATCTGCTGATTTATATATACCTGAGAAGTCAAAGTTGATTTTGCTCGATACTTTTGAACTTTTATTTCAAATGTACATCGCGATTCATTTGGACTGGGCAATCCGGAAACTGGAGATACAATGCACGTCAGATGCAGCAAATTGGACAAAATATGCCTTACTCGAAAGTTGATATTTTAGAAAATACAGGGTGTTAAGATTTCTAATTTTAGTTCGTTTTGTCCCATTATGCCGAAAATATCGGGGCTAGAAATTTGAAATTTTGTAACGTTAGGTTTCTTAGATGACCAATGTGACTCGTGTTTCAATTTCAGCGCTGCTCATAAAGAGCGCTACTTGCAACCAATATTGCCGACAATTAAAGTAATAAATTTTCACCTTGTAAGGATAGATATCATCATATTCAATTCAGAGACTTTCGAGTTTGGAACAACTGGCAATTGGCTCTGATTTCGTTGGCAGCGCCTTGTATTCTTTTTTATTTCCTCTATTTAATTTCGGAGGAAGTTCAATTGATCCAAACAAGCGTTGTAAAGATTCATTTTTAGTAAGCACTTAGGTATAACGATATGTTTTCCGAAATTATATTTCGCAACTGTGAAAACTTTTTAAACGTTATTGTCTTGGAAACATGCTGAATGAAATTCGCTACAAAACTAGCTTTGTTATAACCACTATTATAAACAAATCTATTTTTTGAATTGAATATTTCCTTTTACTAAACGAAAGTACATTAAAAATATTTCAATTAAGGCAAATAACATTATAAACAGTGAATTAAACTTTTATAAGTTAGTGAAATAATTCAATAATGAAATAGTTTTTCACTAGCGTTTTCACGCAGAACATTAGAAGAGGCATTCTTCTATCATTGTGCTTAGCAGCAAACGAATCTATAATTAATATTCCAACAAACAAAACGCTTAAGTCAGTAAGTCTATCCCGACTCATAGTTGTACATAAATAGTTTTTAATTATCTTTAAAGTGCTGAAAGTGCTTTCAAAATTTGCATTGTAAGATGGTACTGTCATTGCAATATTACATAATTTATTCATTTCATGGAAGATTAAACTAAAATCTTGCAAAAGAAGTGTGAGATCTGTTAAAGTCTTTATTTTTAAATTATTTGTGACTTCATACCTCTTAGTGGTATCTGGCAATGACTGTGTCTCGTTTGCAATTGAAACTATATCACATTGGTAATGGTTAGCTAAAGAGATAAACCTTCTAAGTTTAAAAGAATGGATTAAATGTACTAAATAATGTTTTTAAACCCAGCTTTTGTTTCTGCAGCCCTTTTTTCAGTTCTTGTAGGCTTCAGTAACAAAGATTAAACTACTGGTTCCACCTTGTTTAAAGAAAAATTTACAAGGGAAAACTGAATACAGCATCTTTGAGAATGCTGTACTTAATCCAAGGATACAAGAACTAAACAAACTACGAAGAACCATACTGCTTTTTAGAAAAACTTGCTAAGACGGCTGTCTTGAAAGTTCATGTAGCGATAGAGCCAAATCAATTAAGTACGTTTTTTTCCTCTATATGAAAATCTTTGGCTCTTGTCCTAGCAGGAAACAAGTACCTACCCATATTTAGATTAGGAAACAATTTATTAATAAAGTACTTAAAAAATTACTTTTCAATTCCCGAACAACTCGGAATGTTTTCACATTCACTATCATTATTGTCGAATTTGATCTGATTTTTTAAATCGTAATTATTTATATCGCTTATTAAAAGCTTATATATATTAAAAGTGGTTGGGCGAGGCAAACCTTGCCAATCCATCTGACCAACCATCCGACACACCGAGAACGGAAGGCGTGGCTCAACTTTAATTCTCGTCTTCAAATGGTCGATATTATTTCAAGGCGGTTAGGAAAATCTTTGACTCCCCGTTTCATCGATTTTCTTTTCATTTATGGAATTATAAATAAAATAAGAAGCGGACATGTGGGTGAGCAGGGAGGCCCTCAAATAGGTACCGAGGACTAACCCTCTTATTTTTAAAGACAAAGTTTTTTTTCACAAATATTAATCAAACTTGCAGAAAGACAACAATAAAAACGGTAGCAGTCAACAGAAACTATTCATCTTTTAATAAATCTAGTGATTTTAATTTAATTGGCTTTTTTGGATGGTTAATAGTACCTCCCTTCAAAATTATATACTAGGGCTTGAAACACCCCCTTTATACGTAAAATGTAGTCGATTTATTTAAAATGGTGTTGACCCATGTGATAAGTAAATCGAGGAATAAAGCTATGGAAATAATAAAATCAATTTGGAATTCATAAATGTTTGTGGAAGCGTTTAGACAAGTAAGCATTGATAAAATATTTTTGATAATACCTGTTACCGAGTCAATAGGAGTTACTTCGTCGGTGTAGGTTTTGACACGAATCCTGGATTTGTATCGTAACGAAAGGAGATTATAGATTAATTCGAATCTAAATACTCGACCAGGTACATCGATTGCGCAAACCTCCATAAGACACTCCATCTGGCTGTTATGATGATCTTTTAAAAACTAACGAAGAAACAGAAGTGCTACGGAAATATCGCTAAAGACTTCATTTCTAATACCTGCATTGTAGGCAGAAGTCCCTCGGGAGCTACCATAATTTCCAATTCTTTGCAATGATTGAATTGAACTTTTTGAACGAACTTTGGAAGACATTCGTTAACATAAGCTCCAAACTCCTTAAGGTAACTGTATGGATGCTGGTCCGATTCCTCCGAATTAGGGTTGCATACGACCGGTTTAGAGTGATCACAACTTGAAGTGCGCACAAAATAATTAAAATTCGACTTTTTCGAAATGAGCAAAAGCCGTTTTAAGTAGCTCATTTTGTGTCACGGATGACTATTAACTAAGACGACACCATCAATACCTGTATTGACACCAGCAATCACCAATACATGTTTTAATTGTTCCTATGCAAGTTTTCGGTCTTTTTACATAAACAGGGTGTCTCGGAATATGTGGGCATGCCCTAAGATTTGTACAGAGGACGTTAAAAAAAAACATAACAAGTTTCTATAAAACATACGGAGGTAGAGGTTACTAAAGGAGCCACCTGAGAATCGATTATTTATCGAAAATAACTTTTAGAATACTTCATGCAATTTAATTAATTTTTTATAAAATGAACAGTAGGTACATCATCGCCCTTAAAAGAGACCCATGAAAACAGTTTCAGCATTTCGGTTTGCCAGTGATGGACGAGGTGGCGCACAATAATACCTAGCTAATTTTTTGTACGCTTTACAATGAAGACACGAAAATAATGTATTTAGGAAACTTTAACCATAAACTAAAAAAAGACACTCTTGATTCATATCGATAAACAGAACGGTTTTCGAGGCAAAACTATTTTTATTGAATACCTGAGACTTTTAATGCATGCATTGATGGGCTGTGTTTATGTTTTTGGAAATTATGTTTTAGAAATATGCTGACATTCACTTAATGTATGGAATTGCAGCATGTGATGCCGTAGAAGCTAAAAGGCTTTACGAGGAACGATTTCCAGACCGAAGAGAACCGGATGGAAAAACTTTTGAAAGAATAGATCGTCATGTAAGAGAGACGGGTTATAAAAAAAATTCTGTAATTGCAAGCCTTGCTTTTATATTACCCGTAAAATGAAACGGAATTAATTTAATAATAACAATAATAGTAGTTAAATTAAAAGATAATAAAAATCAATACCCGTATTTTTTCATTGTCAACGAAAGCACAACAGCAATGAAATATCTACAGCAAGCTGTAGATATTTAAATATGATATTAAGGAAATTATAAATAAATACTAGAAAATATAAATATATAGTCAGCTACAGTCCAAACGGCTACTCTATGAGACAAACTCAGCTTGTACTTGGACAAACAGAAGGGCACAAACGCTATGTCGATCAATAAGCAATTTTACGTAGGCAAACTAACTCAAACTAACTAACTTTATTTTGAAAATATTTATACCACCTACCCCCGATTTAGGTAATCTGAAGGAAAAGGAAAAACAATTGGAAATCACATTTTAAGCATATCAGATTACCGTATTGGCCGCATTTTGTTTAGTTTTATCGTTTTCTTCTGGTGCAACCCATGCTTAAAACCAAATATTAATTTAAGCAGCGAGGCATTCGAGAATCTCGCAAGACTCTTGCAAAAGTCTTGGTCCTACAAGACACTGTCTTGGTTTTGTCTTTTGCCTCGAAAATCGTTCATTTTATCGACATGAATTAATACCTAAATACAGTATTTTCGTGGCTTTATTGTAATTAATGGTTAATTAAGGATAAAAAAATAACTATTATTGTGCTCCTTTATTATTACCGTAACGTTATTTACCCTGGTGTTATTTGACGCTGACATTCAAAGAAGCGATTTCAACGCTTCTTTGATTTGTTGCAATTTTTAGTTTTTAAACGGTTTCAAAAGAAGAAGATCTGGAACAATTTGAGTTAGAAAAAATATCTGGCTCCTGTGCTGTTGATAGTGTTGATGGTCAAAGTTCGTCCAAAATGGTAAGAAGAATTTTACTGAACCTCGCTGTAAATTTGTTTTTATGTAAGACTCATGTCTTCAGGAAGCAACCGAGTTCATCCGCTTTGGACAAGTGAGGAAATATTGAGTGTCTTGGTACAAAAACTACCCGATTTTTTTATTTGGTACCTGGAATCAACTGATATTTTTGAACTCTCTTGACATTTTTGTCCTCTTTCTTCATTTTTAGTTTTTGCGCAAAATAATATTTCTGTTCTCTTGCTAATTTTGATGGCATGGTTAGCAAAACTTATTTTTTTTAATATCGGGAAAGCACTCAGATGGTATTTAATGAAACTTGCTGTGGATTTGTTCCTCTATTTACCATAACAGAACTTTATGAAAAAATAACGCATTAAAGCAACATTATAGCTGGAAAATGGACTCATTGGACGCGTAAATTCGGCAATACTCATATTTTTGGCGTTAATAAATTAAAATCCAAATTTTGCCTCACTGTTGTAGCATTTCGAATTTCGATCATGCAATGTAGATATGGAGGCTAGTGAATCAAAGAAGCGTTTATGCTTTCAAAAAATCGATTACTATAAATATAAACTACGCCTATGGATCAAAAGCCCGCGAATGTATCGTCGGATTAATATCTACTAATTTTTGTAAATATATCTATCGCTCCAATTTTCTAAGTATTTTTATTCTAGCCACCTATTTTCCATTCCGAAAAAAACAAAACGGGCTTTATGAATGACTAGCTTCACCAATCTATTAATGCCTTTGTCCCAAACCAATCTTCTTGCAGTAGCGCAGTGAGCTGACTTCCATTGAAATGAAGTGAGCTTCATTGGCGGCAATTTTCAAGCGATGGGTTGGAGTTTCAAAAGCGTCCCTTTTCAGTAGCTTGCTGAGAGGAGGGACTTAAAACCTGTAAAAGGCCCAACCCACCACAAACTTCAGATTTTACAACCGGTTTTGAACAAACTGTTAAAACCCTGCTGTTTTCAAATGGTACCACCCAATGTCCACACAGGACCTGTTCAGTCCAAGGGCGTATTCAGAGGAGGAGTCATAGGGGTTATGCCTCCTCCTTGTGGTGGATTTATGTCGACAAATAACAATTTTTCTAATTCCATAGACAATTTAATAAAATAAATAGCAAACCCTAACGAGAACGACACGCATATTATGATTGATGATGATGAAAAACAGAGGATTTTATATAAAAACTGCACCTCGGAAAATTGCAATCGGTTGAAAAACGTGGAAGTTATGATGATTTGAAGGTCGAAAAAACGATTTTCCGAACAAGTTACTTTGAATTTTTACCTCGATTACCTAATTTTCAAAATAGAACATCAGATTGTTTGCAAACTGTATTCTTTCAATGTCTATAGGTAAGAAAATTTGTAATGGCAATAGTTTGGAAGGAAATGGACTAAAAATGAACATAAGAAAGACCAAATATATGCCAATAATAAATAATTCAAGCAGTACAATCAAACATAAATTTATAGAACCAACAAATAGAAAGGGCTCAAAAATACAAATACGCATAAACAGGGGCACATAAACAAGCGTCGTTTGAAATGTGGTATCACATAAGGATGCTCAAGATATCATCAAGACACAAAGAAGAACAAATATGGATGTACTTCGAGAAATGGGTAAAGAATGTGAAGTAATAAACACCATAAAGGCAACAAAATTACAATACCTGGGGCACATAATGAGAGGACAGCGATATGAGATGGAGATTGATCAAGCAAGGAAAGATAAAGGGAAGAAGAAGCATTGGTTGAAGAAGAATTTCATGGCAAGAGGAGAAATTTGAGGAATTGGATTGGATGTAGCTCAACAGAACTTTTCAGAATGGCGGCAAATAAAGTAAGAATAGCAGTGATGATATCCAACCTCCGATAGGACACGGCACTCAAAGAAGAAGGAAAGAAATGGGCTCTGAATATTGGCAAGCGTAAAACTCTCAAACGTACTTCTGTTTACCCTGTAACTCGGTCAGTCATCAACATTTTTCAGAAATTCAAAAACTCTTAAAAAGCCCATAGACTTGGCATAAAAAGGCTTGTTGTTCGCAGTTTCACCGCCAATTGAGTTTTTTAAAGAATTTAAAACACCTGAAGCGATGCATGTTCCTGGAAACACGCTCTTTTGCTACAAGTCTGGCGGCGCACCAAGATGTTTTAAACTACCAAATGTATTTTTAGGAGCAACTCAATCGATTACAAAAATTTTGCAATTAAATTTTTTCTTTTACAAATTTTGGAAATTTGATCCAAAATTAAATTTTTTGAAAATCGCAAATGTGCACATTTTCACTTAAGAGTTAAAAAGAAGTTTAAAATAATTTACACCAACATTCCACTTTTCATTAACATGGTTTTAGAATATAGTTTCGGAGAAAACGGAATTTGGAGTTCAAGACTTAAATTACCACCCACATTGTTTGCACACGCATTTGCCCGTAACTTCGTAATGCCAGATATATAATAATAATAACGATTTTCCAAGCAAAATATTCTCAGTCACAAAATTTCCAGTGCATTTAAGGCCGAGTACCCCAATGTTTGGAAGAATATTTTTTTTTTGGCTACAGACAGAAGCTCTTATCTTGAATCATGTTGTAAAAAGTGTCTTTCTTTGTGTGTACATGATAAATAAAGTAATATTTAATTGCAGCTAAATGTATCAGAGGATAATTTTGTTTGTTAGAATGAGCCGTTAGCTCTAAAGGGCTCATGCCTCAGTCATGCTCTTTGCGTAGTGACAATATTCAAATTACAAATCAAATATTTACAAATTTTTGAATACCTACCGTTGATAACAATCGGTTAGAATTAAGGTCAAAATCCGTTTTATTGTAAGTCAATAAGAAACTGCGGTTATAAGTGAATAGAAGCACTTGAAAAAGTTATCTGTTTTATCCGAGGAAAATTCTAAAGCAGTCGAAAATAAGTGCGCCATAATTTCGAAAAAGCCGTTATATAAAATTCGCCTCATAAAATTCACAAATCTGCACATGCGAGCAGCGTAAATGCTATCAAAGAAAAACTACATCCTGGTTGCCATCTACTTCTACAAAATGAAATGCTGTACGGATCCAGACCGCCGAAAATTCCCTAAAACCCCGATTTTTTTCTCAAATTCATTTAGTGGCTGTTAAAATAAATATCGGACGGATCGTGGCCGCTGAAATTCCCTAGCATAAATCCTTTGGAAACAACAACTTATCTAGATTGTAAGATTTACACTAACACTAACACTAAACCATCACAAAGCATATTAACAGCAAGTTCCACCTACCTATAGGCATTTTGGCCTGGATTCTACGCCATTTTAACATTTGAATACAGTAAAAAAATAGATTTTCAACAGAAAAACATTCGTGTTGATATCTTGATTTTAGACAGTTTTTAAGAAGATTGAATTTGTAAAGTTTAATTTAAAAACAAACTACTGTGGTCACATGTATTGAAAGCAGTACAAAGCGCAATGGACTCATGTCAGAGATAAGATAAGAATAAGAGTATCTATCTTGTCTCCGCATATGCTGGCTAATGGAAGAATAGGTGGCGACCACCTTTCGAGCATCGAAAGGTGGTACTAGAAGGCATTTCTGCAAAAAAACGCCACTTTTTTTTATCGAAAATGTAAATAATTACCTTAGATGAAAATTTTAAGTGTATTTCACAACAGAACGACTTTAATTTTACATTTAGTGTGTTTCAAATTTACAGGTTTAGATAAGGAATTTTGAAAATTGAGTGAAAATTATTTTTAATTTGGAAAATCCAGCCGAATTATTCACCGATTAAATTAGTACGTAAATCACACAGGAAAGCCGGTAAAAATTAACAAAAATGGTTAGTGCGACAAAAAAAGTGTAAGAATTCATTTCATATAACAATAGAAAAGTCTCATACAGAAAACATCTTAGGTTAACGCATAAAATGTGACTTGAATGAGTTTCGAAATAAAAAAAACCCTAGCCAGAATCCCGAATCTCCCTTGTCGTTTCTCATCAAATAAAAATTGGCAACAAAATCATGAAATACAAATCAACAATATAGGACTAAAAGTTCTACATCTATCTACATGGCAACCAGGGGAAAATTAATGGCAAACTTACTAAAAGCTGTATTCATGTCACCTGGAAAGAAAGAACAAAATATGTTAAAAAAACAAAAAAAAACTGCAGCTGCTTTTCGAAAAATTAAGCTCAGTCCAAACAAGACAATTTATAGAGCAGAAAAATCCTTACCAGCTTTCTGCAAGTTGGCACCCCATCCTCCATTTTCTACCCATAAATTTTCAAAAAGTCCGCTCGGCTAAACACACAATGAAAGTCAACTACGAATTGAAAACTTTAATCCTGCAGTATGCAGTCAGAATATACTATCGCACTTGTATTTATACTATTTACACTATACTTTTCTAATCTAAAATCTAAGAACGCGATTCATACGACACAAAGAACACTCGACCTGTTGAAAAACTGTAGCAAAAACTCTAATTAGTGAATAGAGACATTTTAAAAAAGTGACTTGGTGTACCTGAAAAATAGCTTGTTAACGAAATATGTAATGGCTTTAACACCATATGAATAGTTCAAGGTACAAGCAAACTGCTTAATAAAACCTCATAAGGTACCTAAGAAAGATAATATTTGTAAAAGAAACATTGAATATCCTGAAACGGTTGAAAGATATCAGGTACAGTAAAAAACAGTGTACCTTATAGCTTAATAATAATCTAAATAATAAGAGTATTAGTAAATAGGAATATTTTAAAAATTTACCCGTATTATTTGCGCCAATGTGCGTCAAAGCCCGTGCGTAGAAGTAAAACAAATAGTAAATCAAAGTGCGTCTTTTTTATCATCGGTTCTGATCGAACTATGGCAGATTTAGATTCATTCGAATAAAAAATAGTCTGTTAGTTTCACAATGGTTTATTTGTCAACCAAATGGACCGCGAAATTTTTTTTTCACCGATTTTGTCAACATGTTTTTTCTGTATTCCAAGTAAGCCCTTAGAATAATTCCATCAATTCTAAAAAGTACAAAACTATTTTTTTCAACCGAAAACTCTTTAAAGCCTTGTCACACACCCAACAGATAGCGCGCAGCAGCTTTCCATTTACACAGCCGCCTTGAACATTATTTATTTCAGACAAATTTTTTACAAATTTCTTACTGCTAACTTATCTACGAGTCTTAATTCTAACATCTTTAGATTACACAGCCGTCCATTCCATCGCATATTTATATATCTAATCTACGACAGATCCACAGACTAGACAGATCACAAGTCGCGCCTGTCACGAGAAGCCAGACCACCTGACTTTGACATGTTGTATGTAAATAAATAAAAAATACTAAATTTACAGTGATATTCACAACAGATTCACACACGTTTTTATTACTACCGAGAAAGAAATTATTGATTCTTATTAAATAACATTTTACTAATCCTCAATGGCAGCAACAGTCGAACATTTAGATCAAATATGCACCACTTTAGACAAACTCACTCTGGATGCCCTAACTTTAATGCAAGAAGAAATTGATTTAAAGATCAATGCTGAAAATGCTATGATCGGAGGAGAAACCCATTTAGCGAAAACAAGGTAACATTTTTAGGGCACTTCAGAAATTAGTGTCATTCAACTTCAATGGTTTAGGCCAAGAGAACCTGTTAAATGTTTGATGTTTTAGGTACATCTTGGGCCACAATAGCGTATCCAACTTGCAACTACCAACAGAGAACAGTCCCGAGTTCAATGCTTTAACAGTCGTGCACACGAACGATGATGAATACGGTGTAAAACAATTCGACTTGGAGTCCCACAAACCAGACAATGAAACCTATTTAAACCCCTCGAAATGGTTTGGTTATTTAGTACCGCACGACCTACAATTTGCGCAAAATTTATATAGGCAAGCCTTACAGTGGCTTGTACAGGCTGCAAATGTACAAAATAGACTGCGAGAGAATTGTCTACAAATAAAACAACTGAAGGAATTGAAACAGGAGTTATCTAGTAATTAAACAAATGTTCCACCTTTTTTCACAAAAATACCTATGCTAAATAAATTGATCACACACTGATAGAAACTGAGAGTATTCTAATGCTTCTTGCTTAGTGTATTATTTGTTAAACAGTTTAAAGTTTTAATTGTCTGTGTAAGGCAATATTAAATAGAAAAATTGCTCCATCATTTTCTCGTTTTAAAGTCCTTTCTCTGTTGATGTTCTTTTTCTACAGCCTTATCCATTGCATCCAGAAAGATTCTTAAATCTGGATTTTTGGTACCATTAATAAAGAGTGCATAAGCTAAAAATGGTATTTTCCTTAGGGTCCTTCCACTCAATTGAACACTTGCTTCACAAATTTTTATCAACTGTTTACTGTGTTCCTGCATATCGTCTAATAATTGTATTGGCTGTCGATTGATATTAACAGTTTCAAATTTTTCATTTTGGCATTTAATTACATTCGCCTGAAATCAATAGTATTACCAAAATAATTAAAAATAAATGTGCAGATCATTCAGGCTCATACTGGAATAAATACTAACCTTTAACAATTCAACTAAACAGGAATGATAAATTTTGTAGATTGCAGGAACGCTAGGTAGCCCTAAATATTGCTTGATATCTGCTCTATCAACAAAAGCTAAGTCTATCGCTTCCGTCATATTGGAAGTAGCCAAAATTAAAACGTTTGGACATTTCTTAATTTGATCTATTTGAGTGAGCATTGCGTTGACCACTCTTACGGCATCAGACGGTTCATTACCTAAACGAGAAATGTTTCATAAAATCCAGCATTTTCAGATAAATCTAGATCAAATAAGAATATTAAAAACGTACTATGTAAAAGACTACTTGTAAGTGTAAACTTACCTGAAATACTTTGATCTCGTGCATGAGCTAGCGATTCTACTTCGTCCATAAGAACACATACTAACAAATTTGAATTTTCGCAAATTTCTTTAATTTGCGAAAACATGTTTGTCACTAATTTACCACTCTGCGATAAGAAAACATAATCAATATTGAAATGTTCCTATAATGGTACTAAAGCAGGAAAGTAAACATGCAGTGCATTTTTAATATGAATGTTGTGCAAGAAGCGAAACGGTTCCAACATAAAATATAATTGAGGAGATTATGAAGTGTGTTTATCTACAATTAGGCATCAAGTGTGAGACTATAATGAGATGTAGTTCTAATTACACCAATCTATTCGAATTCGAGGGCACCGAAATGAAATTTCCAGCTTTTCCTGTCCTTTCAAAACCATGGCTTAACTAACACATCGTCTAAATAAAACCTACATACCTCAGAGAACCATTTAGAAAACAAGCTGTGGCTATTTATCTCTATCAAAACACCAGAACTATAAACATCTCTCATTTGAACGCACAGTTTTTGAGCTAAAGCTTTGCAAAGAGATGTTTTTCCTGTGCCTGGAGGACCGTGCAACAAAATAACTCGATTGCAGCTTATAATGTTTGCATTAATGCCTTTCTTTGAAAACTCCATCATAGTTTTTCCATATTGCAGGATCTAGAACACATTATGTATTTTTTATTTGTAAGTAATGCACCTGTAACGTTTTACGTTTTCTTTAATGTTATCTTCGTAGTATAAATTTTCCCACAGGGTAAATAGTTCTTTGGAAGGTAACGTTAAATGTGTCGCTAAAGTGATTTCTCCATCCTCGTCTGCCTGGACTTGAGTGGTGGGCCCGTCTGTATCCAACGTATACACATACCAGTTTATTTTATGAGCATTAAGATCTAACAATTTTCCTTTCTGAAATTTGCAATAGGATAAACATAGGTTTAGAACTGTGAAACAGCAATGCGATAACTGCTGTTACTAATCTGCATAAACTTTTTCATATATGTGAAGGAAGGGTTCTTATGTTAGTTACAATAAAGACTTGATGCAAGTTACTTCGTGTTGATACTGTTGATGTTTTAATTCAGCTACTTACATTAACGGGTATTGGTGATACATCCCCAATTACAATTGAATGAATTAGTGATGTAAAACTATCCTCTTCTGTACTAAAATCGCTAATAATGCTATTCTTCTCCAAATAGTTTTCAACTTTAAATTTTGCTAAATAGCTCTGAACTTTTGCGATTAGTATAGATTTGGAAAGGTAGCTAGAACAATTAATTGTTAACTTGAATTGCTTTGAGGCAAATCAATTTACCTGTGACTCTTTAAAACAATTTCAATATCCACTGAACTACACATTTTAAAAGTTTTCTAACGTATATGATTAATGTTAGGTTATTTGATGCACACGACAATCTTTCAAAAGTTGTAGTAGAAAAACGAACATTATACTGTTCGGAATCGGAACTTTGGCAACGTCGCTGTGGGTCCGCACATCTCGTTCATAGGCCCATAATAGATTAACCAATATTCAAAAGTAATTAGTCTTAGAGTTTGTCTTGTATACATTTATTGCTATTGTTAAATGAGAATAATTCGTATTAAATCCCCTTGTATAAATGTTAAGTTAAGCACTCGCTATATACAAATGGTGCATTTCTGATGGGTGCAAACATTATTACGGACTTAAAATAAATATTATTGTTTGCCTGTTAGTTTAGAGGAATAAATGTTGTTGCTTTACCTCTAAAGCTGCAATAATTGCGGATGCATACGTGATAAATACAATTTGAAATGGCCAGTCTCACAATTAAACATGCCACCTTCCTTGTATCTCGACCTCTCAGCAAGACAAAATTAATTTAAGTATATTTTCAATTGTTAATTTGCAAAATAATTGATCATAATTTCAAATGAGTCATTTATTTAAATTATAAGCTTTGTCACACACCACAAGCAAGCAACATTGCCGATCTGCCCATCCAAATAGTAACAGGTATAGTAAGAGAAAAATGAGATATAAAAAACGACTTTATTAATAACTGGAAAAACTCTAATTTATACAACTAATGGGGCGAGTGGAAGACGGTGTTTTATATCACAAAGCTCATTTTGAAGAAAACGAGATTAAAGTTAATTTACTGGCTAATTTTACATTATTTATTTTAATTGATAATGGTTTCATAGCATTGAGTAGCAATATTAAAACTTTTTCCTTCATATTTATCAATCTAAATAATAGAAGTCAAAAAAATGGCGCAAATTCACACTGTTTTAATCACTCAATAAAAATATACAGGGTGTCCCTAAGCACATTATCAAAACGACACTGGGGCATTCTATAGCTAAAAGAAGACGATATGACCCAACTATTATTAAGAGAAAATGTCTGGCTCCTCTGCAATTGATGGTCAAATTTCTTCCAAAAATTACGTTTTTTTGAAATATCGAGAAAATGCAATGATGCATTTTACTGAAACGCGCTTTGAATTTGTTCTTATGTAAGACTCAATTATGTATTTCGATGAACATGCCAAGTGGTAAATTCTCGAGTGTCTTTTGGGGCAACAATTACTAGAATTTTTTATTTTGTAGCTGAAATAAGTTGATTTTTTTAGTTGATGGAATAATCCTTCTTGGATACTTTCGTGTTCTTTGTAATATCTTGTTACATTCATAGTTTTTGCGCAAAAAGTTATTTTTATTCCCTTGAAGAAAAATAATTATTTCAGACTTTAATTGCAACTGTCCTAGTGAGCGACAATGTTCTTTTTTTAACAAATTGATTATTGTCAAGACAGGCAAAACATTCCCGTTTTCGTACACCAACAGATACTACTAGAACACCTACAAACGCAACTGAACTAACGACTAAGACCTGTTTGTTTTGTAAGCCAGGAATTTTTTTTATCACCGATTAGTTTATACCAGTGTTAGGAATAGGAATTAATTTTAGAGTAAGCTAGGCTAAGACACATATGTACTACTCAAGGGCAGAAGAAAATAGGAAATAAAGATTATATATACAGGGTTATTCACGCTATATGGCACGAAAGTTTGCGGCTAAACCGTTTGATTTTTAAAAAGTATTAATTTATGAATTGTCCGACGCCTACCGAGCGCACATTTTAAAAATATTTTGGTAATGTACAGGGTGTCCCAAAAGCTCTAAAGGTATCAAAG